TCCCGCATTCATTATTTTCACAAATAACTCGGCGAACATATCCGACGCATCTTTCTCCTCCTGTTTTTCCCACAACAACCACCTTGTGAGGTGGGTTGGGGAGAGAGGGGTGGGAGGGAAGGAGGGGAGGGGGAGGTACTGGCCTGAAATCAAGCCAACTGTCAGCGTTCCAAATATCATCCAAAATTAAATCAGAGTCCAAGGCATAGGATTCCTCCAAGTTCCAATTTATTGAGAGAGACATGTTGGCACATCTGTGGAAACCCGAATCTGAAAATTTCCCGGGTTTTCCCACCCAGTTGAAAGTTCAAGATCAGCTTTTAAAAAGAATTGGGGGTTCTTTGGGAAATCGACGAGCAAAACACGAATCCGACAGCCAGGCTTCCGTTTTTCTCCTTTTCCCCCATCTACGGCTAGTCCTCGAATTACAACTCTTTGACCGTTCAAAGTGACGGCACCGGGAAAAAGTGATTTGCGGCCGTTTTTCAACGGTTACGACCCCCAACGATCACGTCAACAAAACTCAAGATGCGTGGCCGCTGTTTCGTAGTTACGACCGTTGCTGTGTCTCTGCAACGTCATGGGTTCATTTTTCCGACAAGCCAAGTCCATGGGGAAGCCTGATTCACTTAACGACCGGGTTACTAATTTATTAACTGCAGGGATTCACTTGACAATTGTGACAAGGAAGGTTGTAAAATGGGGGGGAGGGGAAACTCACTTAACAAACGTCTCACTTTACAACAGGATTTTGTTTTGGCCTCCATTGTGGTCGTAAGTTGGGGACTATCTGTATTAATATCCCGGGCCCTAATTTCTTTATTTTTATCCCACATCTATTATTTTTAACACCTAATGCCCCTGAACGTAGAAAATGTCCATCTTGGGGGGGGAAACAAAACACCTTTTTTATGCTTTTGTCCTCAGATGGCCATCATCGAGCCTCTTGACCACAAGGACCTGGACAACGACGTGGATTATTTTGCCAATGTTACAAGGTAATAGCCGGGAAAAGAATGGAGCGGTGTTCTGACCCAACTCCCCAAACACCACAAATCCTCTGAAGTTAACTCAAAAGATTCCTTTACTAGGAGTCCCAGCAGCCGCGGCAAAAAGTTTCAACGCCGGCTAACAAGTCCGTCCGGCCAGAAGATGAATAGTGGTCTCCACGTATTCATCTCCACCCGCTGCCGTTTATCCCCAGAGCTTCCCTAGCAGCAATGGCTTTTCCCTCCCAAGGACCAGCCCATAGATTTCCCCTGCTCTCCTCTCCTCTCCTTTCTGCAAAGCCACGTGTGAGGCATTGGAACCAGCTGTTCCTCCTCTTCCTCATTAGCCACCTCCAGACATGGGGGCTGTTGACTCTCCATCTGAGGGCTGATGGACGGCCCAGGCTCTGCCCCTCTCTCTGCCAGATCCATTCCCTCTCCCCCCGCCACCCCCCAGCATTCTCAGGTTGCCTTGATGCTGGGCCTAACTCCTACGCCGCCTCCTCTGATTTGGTTGCTGGAGGAGCCGGCAGGCAACAGGCCACAACAAGCAGCTGCAAGCCACTTACACACCCACGGGGTGCCACCAATAACGGACCTGATGCCCGTGGCCAAAGAGTAGCAAAGAGAGGAGAGCAGGGGAAATCTATGGGCTGGTCCTTGGGAGGGAAAAGCCAAAAGCAACAGGAGGGACATAGAGCAACTGAGAGTTGAAAACCGCTTCTCTGGAACAGCTTCTGAGCCCCCTTTTCTCCACCATCCTTCTGCCCTTCTTCAGCTCGACGGAGAATCTGGCCATGTACATCTGGAACAGCCTGGAAAAAATCCTTCCCTCGGGGTGCCTCTACAAAGTGAAGATCTATGAATCGGACAAAAACTTTGTTGTTTTTAAGGGCAACTAACCCCCCCCGCTCCCTTTCGCGAATGAAAGACGGGGAGCACAGGTGAGAATATACAGGACTATTTATAAGCATTCTTTGGGAGTTCTTGACGCTGTCTGGTTTGTGTTCCTGCAGATGTTTAATTACCTGACTTAGGTAGCTTCATCAGTTCAAGGGAGTGTGGGGCTTGCTCTGTTTATATGCAGTAACTTACCCTGCCAGTTTTGGTAGGTGTTCGCTTTTCTCCTCGGTAGTTCTTTGCATATGGTATCTTTCCATTTGTCTGGAGTTAATTCCCGCTTATCTAGCCGTTGGTTGCCGGAGAGGATGTGATCTTCTCTGTTTCTTTCTCGGCTTTTTCACTGTCTCTTTTGAATGGGGTGTAAATGTGCTTTATCTCTATGTGTCTATTACAATCACTGATGACGTCTTTTCTGTCTGACAGTCTGGCAAACCCCAAGACGACCCCGTCAAGTTCAACCTAACCGCTTCAAGGAACTTCAATAGTCACTTTTGCTAAGGCGCATCTGTACATGTATGTTTCCTGCTCGATGGCTAGGTGCAGAGCATTGGGGCCTAGAAGGCTGCAAAGCATGGGGCGAGGTCAGGAGAAACATCCCTCATCTTTGTAAGGTTCTGCCCACGAATCTTCCTTAAGACACCCGTCCCGTACATTTAATTGGAGAGTCTTACGACGTCAGAATTATTAGCATGATATAAGCTTGATGGGCCAGAGTTTTTGCTGAGGGGGGAATCGGATAAACAAAACCGAACACAAATCGTGTTAAGGGCAATGGAACTTATGAATTCCAAAGGAGCTGGGCAGTCAATCGATCAGTCAATCAGAACAGAGCTGGAAGGGGCCTTGGAGGTCTTCTAGTCCAACCCCTTACTCAAGCAGGAGACCTGATGTCATTTGAGACAAGTGGCTGTCTAGTTTCTTCTTCTTAAAAACCTCCAATGAGGGAGCACCCACATCTTCTGAAGGCAAGTTCTCCTCCACTGGTTGATTGTCCCTCACTGTTAGGAAGCTCCTCCTTAAATCCCAGGTTGCTTCGCTCCTGGATTAGTTCCCATCCTTTGTCCTGACTTGGAAAATAAGTCGACCTCCTCTTTTTTTTTTGGCAGGCCCTCAAATATTGGAATACCGCTATCATGTTACCCCTAGTACTTTTTTTCTCTAGACTGGGGGGTGGGGGGTGGGAGAACCCTACTGGGCTTAAGGCCAAAAGACCACCTCCCCAGTGTTTCTGCAGATTCACTCCCATAATGCATTGTTTAGCCCAGTGTTTCTCAACCTTGGCCACTTGAAGATGTCTGGACTTCAACTCCCAGAATTCCCCAGCCAGCATTCGCTGNAAAATCTCCATTCCCTCCCCACTCCAGGGGAAGGATACTGCAAAATCTCCATTCCTTTCCCACTCCAGGAGAAGGATACAGCAAAATCTCCATTCCCTCCCCACTCCAGGGGAAGGATACTGCAAAATCTCCATTTCTTCCCCACTCCAGGAGAAAGATTCAGCAAAATATCCATTCCCTCCCCACTCCAGGGGAAGTATACTGCAAAGTCTCCATTTCCACACCTTTCCAGGGGAAGGATATTGCAAAATCTCCATTCCTTTCCCATTCCAGGAGAAGGATACTGCAAAATCCCCATTCACTCCCCACTCCAGGGGAAGGATACTGCAAAATCTCCATTCACTCCCCACTCCAGGGGAAGGATACTGCAAAATCTCAATTCCCACCCTACTCTGGGGCCAGCCAGAGGTGGCATTTGCTGGTTCTCTGAACTACTCAAAATTTCCGCTACCAGTTCTCCAGAATCCATCAGAACGCACTGGATTTCACCCCTGGATCACATGATCCTGGGACACTACAGAAGTCATAAATAAAAAGGCAGTTGCCAAGTGTCCACATTTTGATCGTGTGACCATGTGGATGCTGCAATGGTCGTGAGTTTGAAAAACGGTCATAGGTTACTTTTTCAATGCCGCTGTCACTTCAAACAGCCACTAAACGAATGGCTGTAAGTCAAGGACTACTTGCATTATTATGATATTGTCTATTCTTCCAATGAATATCACAGGTTTTTGACTGGATGTTTTCTAATGGCCTCTAATCAAGGAAATCATGGAAACATTATGATAGTATGTAAGAAGTTCCAAGCAAAATATTTTTTTAATGCAAAGATAAGGGCATAAAATATGGTAAATGTAAACAATTGCTATTGTTGTTATAGTTGGCTTCCTTCACCCCAAATCTTTTGACTTCAGTTTGGAAATTCCAGTATTTGGGGGCCTTTTTTATTTGGGGTTTTTCTTTTGGCTAATAAAAATATGGGAAGTGTGCCACACACATTTTTCTTTTCCATACAAGTAATGTTTGGTGTGTTTCAAGTGTCCATCTACATTTTAAAATCTCATAAGATTTTAAGACTGGATTTCTCCTTCCCTTTTCTAAATAACTTTGGCTTCTTTATTCACATTCTTTCATTTTATTTTTTGCTAAGGGGACATGCAATAAATTATGTACTATATTTATAAGTGTGAGGACAGGTTTAGTGTCACTGTAACTTCGAGCAGTTGCTAAATGAATGGTTTTAAATTAAGAATTACTTTCGTACACACTGGCCCTTACAGATGTATCTTCTCTATAGCAATAGCAGTTAGACTTATATACCGCTTCATAGGGCTTTCAGCCCTCTCTAAGCGGTTTACAGAGTCAGCATATTGCCCCCAACAA